AGGCTTTAGGAAATCATTTCCCATCAGCTCAGCCTTCAAATAGAACTGCCCTGTTTGTGAGGCTCATTTACCGGCAAAAATTTTGGGAAAGAAATGCCGGAAGAAAAAAAAAAGCCGCTCTGTCATGACCACCCCATTCACCTCCTCTCCCTCCCTGTCGAGAGGTATCTTCAAGGTCCACCCTTGACACCAAGAACATCTTCCCTTTTTCTCTGGAACATGACAAAAACTTGAGGAGTTGAAGGCACACAGGTGACACTACGCGTGTTGTGTGGAAACAATACAAAACTCAGAGACAAGCCTTAAGATGTGGGAATGAGGGTGGGGACACAGAGGGGGACCCCTCCACAGTGAGAAAATGACAGAAGACCCAGAGTATGCATTTTCTTGGGCTTCTTCATCAAAGTACCACAGACAGGAAAGCTAAAAACTGAAAACCAGAAGAAGGGTCAGGAATGGGAAGACGGCTCAGTTGGTAAAGGGCTTGGAGCGAAAGCATGAGAACCTGAGTTCAGTCCATGCGCTTAAAAGAAAGAAGGACACATTATTAGCATGTGCTGGAGAGGTAGAGAAAAGTGGGTCTCTGCAGGCCAGCCAGTCTAGACAATCAGCAAGTCCCAGGGCCCGAATAAGGAGGAAAGCAGCAGAAGACAGCTAACATTGGACTCTGGCCTCCACACACATGTGCACACACAAACACATATACACACGGATACCACATGCACATACAAAAGCAGAAGAATTGCAAAATATAAGAGGTTCCTTCCAAAACTCTGAAGTGAAGAATCCGTGCCAACCTTCTCCCCTTGTTTAAAGAGACTATCTCCATTTCATCTATCTTCCAATCGTCTATGTGCCTGAATTTCTCCTTTTCATAAGGACAGCTACTGAACCAGGACAGGCTGCCAACACCCTCATCTCATCTGGATCATTCCTATAGACTTCCCTCTTGGGAAGTCTACAGAGATGGGGGTTCAATTCAACACACGCTTCAAGTTAAAGGTTCATATCTTCTTGAAGCACCTAACTGCCCCCTGCCCTCCTCCTGTTTCACAGGAAAAAGTCAAACTGAGGCCCCAGCCCAGCAGGCTGCCTGCCTACCTCAGCACCAATCTTCAGTAGGAGCCAAAAGCTGACCCAGCAACCCAGCCTCAGCCGGAGGGGTCACCACAGGCTCTTACAGAGCCAGAAAGCAGGGGCTTTGGGATAGGCGCCCAAGTCCATCCAACCCTATGTGGTTTGCTTGGAGAACCTTTGATTTACTTGAAAATATAGATGTATAGAGAGCTGCATGCCCCAACATATGCATGACAGTCCCGGTCCCAACCGTTTGCAAAACCCCAAATTGTCCCTATTAGTTTCCCAGGAACTTCTTTACCCTGCTCTGCTGGACCTCAAACCCCACCACCAGGCCAGCCTCCAGCAAGTCATCCTGGTCACTCTGGAATCTGTCAATCATCACATGAGTCTGCCCTGCCCCTTTCCTGCCACATCACCGCACTCAGCAAGGCCACTCTCTCTTCAGACTCAGAGATGCTCTTCCTTCACTTGAAAACCTTCTATTGTCTTTTAGATAAAAGGACAGCCTGTTCTAGGTCTTCCAAGGGTGGCCTGGCAAGGACAGTGGAGAGAGCTGGCCTAGCACTCCTGCCTGAGGTAGCCACTGGGCACCAGTCTGGTCAGTCTCTCAACTGGAATTCAGTGGATCCATAGTAGGGCAATCTGGAATCAGGTTATTGACATAAAGCCTGGGGCTGTACCTGCTTTTCTCCTTGGTTTTTATAAATCTAAGTAATAAACCCAACTTTCTGTGGATTTCTCACATGGGTATAAATAACATGAAAATGCATACTAAGAAAATCAATTCATCTTACAAGGGAGAGAGATCTCTCAGGGACTCTGGGACAGTAAACGTGATTGCTACTGTCCTGGTCCTTTGTGAAGCACTTTCAAGGTTTGGCCCAGAGCTTGAGCTGCAAACAAGTGTTTGGAGGTTCGTAGCCAGCTCTTAACTCCCTGGGTCTTCAATGGAAAGTAGACTTCATAGAACAAACCAGAGTCTTCCCTGCTGACATGTCAGTTGTGGGCCTGATTCCTCCCTGCTCTCTGGCTCCTGGCTACACTGCTTCATGCTGCAGAAGACTATGTTAGCCAGGCTGTTTTGCAATACGGCATCAGGACAACTCTGTGCAGTAGGCAGCAGGACAGAAGACTGGAGGAAGGAGATTGTACTATTTCTGCCTGTCTTCTGCCCTGGGCAGCTCCTCAGGCAACAGTTTCCAGGATATAGACCAGCCATGGTTTCAGCTTGTGCCAGGTGTCCCTATCCTGGTTGCTAGTGATACCACCTCCCTGGTTACCCCTCTAGCCCTGTGTAGGAATGTCAGAAGCTTCTTCATCACCCATTCCTACTTAGATTTTCAGCTGTCTCATCTCCATGGAGCCTGTACTGAATTCTCCACATGACACACACAATAGTGATGTCTACTTTTGGTCTGGACCTTGACTAATGCAGTCAGAAACAAATCCCATTCAATCCAGCCAGGGCCAAGTAGGAGTCCAGCACCACAGAAAGAAAATACAGGCAGAGGAGGGATCCAGCTGGTCCCAGTAGCAACAGAAGGCAGAATTCTCCACATTGCTCATCTCCACCACTCTCTGCATTCAGGATCCTTTCACTAGACAGGTTCCCTTCATGGTCCTTGGAAAACAACCCCCAGGGATGTGCAGGTTCCTACCTTCAGGTTCAATGCCAGTCAGAAGCAACTACTTTGCCTTCCATTCTGATCAAAAAGATACTAAGGAAATGTTTCTATGAACTAGCTTGAGACACAAGGTGGAGCTGTCCAAGGCCTCATTAAGAGAGCAGCCTGATTTGCTTGCATGTAAGGTGTCTTTACACACCCTGATTAAATCACCCACGGTGCTTTGAGAACATTCCATTAGATAGGGAAAGGGGGGATATACTTTGTATACGGTAACTCTCCTGTCTCCTGTCTCTCGTATGTCCAAACCTTCATCCAAGGCAGAATTATTCCCCATTCCCTTGCTGGGTTTTACATCACTTACTGTCTGCTCAGCCCCTGGTGATGACGGAAAAGCAGTGGAGAATGCTACATGAGGGGTTGCATGAGGCATTTCTGGATTCACCAGCAACCAGGCTGGAGGGATGTGGACGCCTCTAGAATCCAGTCCAGTCTGTCTGGGTCACCACAGATGGAACAAGAGATATGATGCTGGAGCCCAGAACCCCTCCTCAGGAAAGGACCATGGGTGGTAAGGTTAGGGAGTGAGGAGAGGCCAACAGATGTCAAAGCAATGGGACAGGAGGGACAAGTCCCCAAATCAGAGCTCTGGTCCAAGAAGAAAGGAGCTGCCCAGGGCAAAAGAGTAAGCTTAGGGCTGGGAGGCCACTAGATTGACAAGCCATATTGAAGTCATAAAAGCAACCATGGTGAGTGCAGCCTAGGCAAGCAAACGAGTGTGTTACAAGCAGACCTCTAAGATGAGTTTACTGGAGCTATGGCAGGCCTGCCACCTTCTTTACTTACAGAGCTCTGCTCTCATTCTTCCCTTCACTGAGTCCACACCTGTGCCAGGAGCCATTTCAGATACTAACACCTGGTCCATGCCACACCCACAGGTCCTGGACCCCAGTACTTCTCGCATCTTCCACATCATCAGCATCCCCACAACTGTCTCTTAGTAGACCCTGATTTCCTTTACTTTTGCCTCTTCTATGCATAGTAGAGAATTATTTTAATCGGATTGGATTGTTCCCTGTATTTAATACTCCTCAAGGTTCCCCTTACACTTAAAACCCTTGCTCCTGGGGGCTTACATAGCCTGACCTCTGCACCTTGGCAACCTTACAACTTCCCTTCTCCCCTTCCCTCCAGGTGGTTCCAGCAACTCCGGCCCTTTCACTCCTGGATCCCAGCCAGCACCCCACCTCAGGGCCTTTGCTCTAGCCCTTCCTTCTCTGTAGGTCAGGCTTCCCCCAGATGAAGTGGCTCAGAGCCCTGCCTTTTGCAGGGCTGTGTTTGAAGTCATTCCCTTTGGAAGCGCCTTCCTAACCACCCAAGCTTCAACTACACCTCTGCCCCATGCTCGTGCCCATGTGTCTCATGTTTTCTACATCACTCACTTGCACCAAAGAATGTAAGTGTGTGTACAGCTGAGCATATGTATACATGTACACGTGTGCGTGTCTCTCTCTGTCTCTCTGTCTCTGTCTCTCTGTCTCTGTCTCTGTCTCTCTCTCTCTTCTCCTTCTGCATTTGCGTGTAAGCTCCATGCAGTAAGGAACCTTGGAGTCTTCCCTCCTGAAGCCAGAAGGATCTACGATGCTCCAGAATAGTCATAGATATTTGTGTGCTGAATACATCCATCTGGTAGCATCCCCATGGCATGCCAAGTACGAAAGCAAATGGAGAAACTAGAGTCTCGGGTTTGGTTCTCCAACCAGAGGGGTCTGGAAAGTGCCAGAGGCCATAACAGCTGGGATCCATCTAGCTGAAGTTTCCAAAGCAGTTGGAAGATGACAGGAAACTTTGATCAGTCAAGGACAGTAGCTGGCAAAAAGGCTAGATCTGTGATCCAAAGACAGCTGGAAGCAAAAACCAAGGTGAGCACGTGAAGTCACTCAGGGTCTGCCCTAGAAATGCTTCCTCATACCTGCTGTCTTTAAGTGCCTGTCTTGGAATGTCAGGATGGAGATTGCAGAGGGCAATCAGGGAACCATGTTGTCTTTGATGTTTCCACGGGACATGTGTACACTGGTAGCCAAGTCTGTGTCTTCCCCTCCCCCACCCCATGTGATGTGTTAAAGCCCCTAGACTCTTGGCTGCTTTGTCCCTATAGACCCTTGCCTTTTGACACAGTGAACTTAGAAACTTCCAGAGCTGCTAAGAGAAGCTGGGCTGAAAACAAACCAAAAACAATGAAACAAAAAACTTTCATTGTATTTAAGTGTAAAGTACCTGTACATGTTTCCACCAGGGTTCCTCCCTCCACGATTGCAGCAAACATCCCAACAAGCACAAGACTTTCGTGGTGGTGAGCTGAGCAGTGTGCATAAAAGCTCCAGGTAGGTTGTGACACAAGAAGCAGAGGGATGGTTGGAGACAGTTTTCCCAGCCGCAGGTTATTCTTGTGCAGAACTCTGTGAGAATCTGAAGGGCCAAATTAGAAGACATCCTTCTACCTGATTTTTCAATAAACTGTATAGGCTATTTTCTTACTACTTAAACTCTTTAAAAGTGTTTTATACTCATCATGATTGCAAAAGTCACACTTGTCTGATTTGCCAACTCACTCCTGTGCCTAGCAGGTGGCTGGTACTTAGGAAACACTCAGTAATTAGGGCTGAATTCTTTGGTTCAGGAGACTAGAAAATAATTCCTCTAGGGGAATGGTCGAGCATGACGTCTGGTATGCTCTCCATTTTCCCTCCATTTGAGGGAAGTGCCAGATGGCTTAAACTTTAAGCTGATGACTGATGAAGGGAGCGTCAGAATGACAGTTAAGAGAGTGTCCCAACTTGGATCAGTCCAGCCTGGACTACAAAGTAACAGCTTTCAGCCCTCAGCACAACATGTGGTGTTTCCCTCCATTTACAGAGTATGAAGAGCTGGTGGGAAACCGCTTGAGTTAGTCATACAGAGTCTGGCTTCAGTGAGCATATCACAGCAAAAGTCCTACTGGGACTTCGAATATGAAATTATTGATGTTTTCCTCCTGCTATCGATTTTAGCTTATTATACTTCAGGGATCTGTCTCTTTTCCAATTTGCTTTACATAACTTCAGTTTACTCACATTTTGACGGCACATTCTGTTCCTTTCCAACTTGTGAGTCAATCATGTGTGACAAAGGGCCACCACCGCCAATTATTTTAAAACACAAATAGAGACCTTATCATTAGAGTCAGCAAACTGAAGTCTACAGACATCAGGTATCCCTGGGGATGCTGAGGATAGTGTGTCTCTTTGAACCTGGCAAGAGAGGCATTGAACTGAGCTGTTTTCTGTTTCTTTGGCCTCTTTACTCTCTACAGAGCAAGGGTTTCCTGGGACCATGGCTAGATGCCAGCCCAACATTCATCCTTTCTCCTGGACCACACCTCACTTCCTGAGTATCCGCAAGACTTCATGAGTTATTGAGCTAGGTTGTGTGAGCTAACACCTCAGGCAGGTGTGGGAGCTCCATCTAGAGATGGGGTTGGGAGGCAAGGAGCAAAAGGGTGGCCAGGGACAGTTTGCCCTGCTCCAGCACAGAGGGCTATGAGAATCCAGAGGGCCAAATTGGAAGTTGTTCTTCTATGGGGCAACGATGGAAGAAGAGAACAACACGTTGGAAGTTTGACTAGCAATCCTTAACCACTTAGCCCTACGATATCGGAACTTCCCACCATAGCCTGGCCTGGCCAATGCCAGGCTGAGCTTGGAGAAAGGCGATGCTTCCCCATTTAGACCATGAGACACACTACTGTGTCGGGGTCTGAAATATCCATGTCCATGTCAGCTCAATTCCAGGATCTCGAATCTCCTATTGTCTTTTAGATGTCGGCTGGTTCCTCTGGATGGCCTGGCCACAGTGGAGATTGACTTCTAGTTTGTGTAACAGTAGACCTAGGCCCCATGCCCATCATGAGGGCTAGCGGGACATGCCTGAAGACTGGTGAGACCTGCCATTATGGAATGTCTGAGGGCTTGTGTACGTGCATTCTAGGACCATCTCTAGGATTAAAGGAAGTGTTTCCTAGTCAGCCCTTTATACATGATAATAGATGTCTTCTGCCAGTACCCCTGCTTTTGGAAAGCTATTTAAGAGGATGCTTGAACAAACTGTGGTCTCCATATGGACTGAGAGCCCTCCTGAAATGACAAGATGTCTCTGTCTTGTCCTTAATGCTGCTGGGTAGCTAGGACTTCCCTGATCCACACTCCCCCACTCCGGGTCAGACCCGGGGCTATTCGGCTGGTTCTGAACACAGCTCCAAAGACATCAATCCAGAATAGATGGCCCCTGCAGCAAAGGACTGATACAGGCCAGACCCTGGCACTGCTGCATATACATAGCAACCTCTGCCCTCCTCCCAGAGAAAGCACGAGCAACCCAGATCCCTGCAGGGTTTAGACAGTCAATCCCAAGACAGGAAGAGGAGGCAATGGAGTCAAAGAACTTGGGTCTGTGGTGAGGGAGCACTATAACATCTTTCTATAACACTTCTTTCCAGTGTCTGTTTCCGCTTGAGTCTGAGAGCTGGTGAGGAGAGGGAGCAAGTGTGGTGGCAAGCCTGGTCTCCCAAATGTCAGAGCTGAGAGTTTGGGAGGACGTGGAGTGTAACTCTTAGCCGGGTACAGGGAACTCCAGAAGAGATTCAGAGCTTCCAAAACATTGGGAGGCCATGACAGACGCAGGGGAGACTGCTCAAGGCTAGAGGCCATGGGACATGGCTTGATATGCTGGGAAGGACACAGGCCTTGAAGTCAGACAAAACTGCATTCCAGAGGCTACTTCCCATCTCTCCGAAGGTGGATTTGAACCATGACACTCAGTTTCCCTACCTGGTGTTCTGCCCACACTAGCTGCTTAATTATCAGTGAGGGGCCTTCAAAAGGCATCCACAGGGCAAACTGTGAGGTACTACCACCTCAGAATACCCATCCTCCTTAGTCTGTCCCCCATTCCTGCCATTCCACTATCAGGAAAACAAGACCACTGAGGGCAGAGTCCAGCAGAGGGGGAGTGCTACAGGGAAGACACTGCGTAGGACCTACGAACTGGAAGGCATGAAAGGTCCTAGGCAAGGGACCCTGGAATAATCCCAGCAATGACTGCCCATGCGAGAATGGAGAGGAAGCCACAGGAACTGAGAGGTGGGTAGAGGAGAGCTCAACTGCCAACATCCTCTCCACAGCAGAGGGAGTCTTTGATGTGCTAGCCACGTGCGTGGGTCCCTCTTCCCTTCACACTGACACACCCTCTGCCCTCATTCTGCTAAAAAATCCCAAGGACACTGGGAACCCTCTTGGGAAGAACTTAAAAGACCTCACCCTGCACATTTTAATGTCTTAGAAATGGTGTCAAAGCCACCAGAGAAGCTAGGAAACAAGGAAGGTCCCCTGGAGAAAGGGAAAGGGACAAGATCTCCTGAGCAAATTAGGAGCATGGGAGGAAGGGAGAGGGAGCTAGGAGAATGAGAAGGGGAGAAGAGGGGAGAGGAGGACATGAGGGAGCAGGAAGACTGAGTCAGGAGAGGAATAGAGGAGAGTAAGAAAAGAGATACCATAATAGAGGGAGCCATTATAGGTTTAAAGAAAAATCTGGCACTAGGCAAATATTCAGAGATCTACACGGATGACCCCAACTAACAATCTAAGCAATAGTGGAAAGGCTACTTAAATGCCCTTCCCTATAATGAGACTGATGACTACCTTATATGCCATCCGAGAGCCTTCATTCAGTAGCTGATGGAAGCAGAGGCAGACACTCACAGCTAAACACTGAGCCGAACTCCTGGAATCCAGTTGCAGAGAGGGAAGAGTGATGAGCAAAGGGGTCAAGATCAGACTGGAGAAACCCACAGAAATAGCTGACCCGAACAAGGGGTTGTTCATGGACCCCAGACTGATTGCTGGGAAACCAGCATAAGACCCACCCAGATCCCCTGAACATGGGTGTCAGTGAGGAGGCCTGGGCAATCTAGTATATGAATGGACTTTGGGAGCCCATTCCACATCCACATAGAGAGATGCTTTCTCAGCCTAGATATGGGGGGGGTGGGTGGGGGACATACCTAGGTCCTGCCCCAAATGATGTGGCAGACTTTGAAGATCCCCCATGAAAGGCCTCACCCTTCCTGGGAGCAGAAAGGGGATGGGATAGGGGTTTGGTGGGGGGCAGGGGAGGGAAAGGAAACTGGGATTGACAGGTAAAACAAGCTTGTTTCTAATTTAAATTTAAAAAGATCTGTTAAGACCTTAAAAGAAAAGAAATGAAAGGGTGTCAAAGCCATGGAACTTTCTGGTGATCTGAGAATTCCAACTGCTTTCCTGTCGCCCCCACTCAGCTAACTTGCACCCCAGAGTATCTACCTTCTTCAGAAACTACACAGATCAGTTTGACGATCTTTTTCTTAAATTACTAGATCTTTTTTAATTTATTTTTCATGTTGGTTTTTTGTTGTTGTTGTTGTTGTTGTAGTCTTTTTTTTAAGTCAGCTAAACCCAGACCAACAACCTGACTTCCTGAAAAAAAAAACAGACTGGACCAAAATCAATGAAATGCTTTGGTTTTAATTTCCCAAACCAAACAGCATGTGAGGATTAAACATCATTCCCTCCGTCCAACTCGCGCATCCCCGATGAAGAACACAAGCAAAACCAAAGTGGAAGGGTGACCAGAGCAGCTCATTCCTTCCGGGCCAGCTGCCTGATTTCCATCACGCCACACTGAGATGTCTGTGGTTCAGCCATGTGGTTCATTATAATTTGGAGGCTAAAAGAGCCGAGCAGGCATCTGTAGAAGCTAGAATCTTCTAATGACTGCCACACACGTAGCAAAGCTAAGCTTATTTCAAATGAAAGTCACATCCTGCAATCAAGGCATCAACCAGTCAGCCCGTGGGCTTCACATATGGAACTTGAAAAGAATCATTTCTCCCAAAGGTCAAGCTTTAGAAATTAGCACGCAGGTTCCGGAGAGATAAGAACTTGGCTGCAGGACTCATCCCAGCCATGACTAGGATCTGATCGGGTCCCAGCTACTGGCCTTCAACTGTTTCCATGATAATACCTGCCTACCTTGGTCCAGCTGAGCCTCTGAGCAGCCAAGGAGAAAGTTTTGGGTCTCTCTAGATCTATATTTCAGGTACCAAACAGAGCAGAAACCTAATACCACCCACCCCATCCACCCCATCTACCCCACCCGCCCCATCCACCCCATCCGCCCCATCCATCCCACCCGCCCCATCTACCCCACCCCCCATCCACTCCACCCACCCCATCCACCCCACCCACCCCACCCACCCCATCCACCCCATCCACCCCACCCACCCCATCCACCCCATCTACCCCATCTACCCCCATCTATCCCACCCACCCCATCTACCCCCATCCACCCCATCCGCCCCATCTATCCCACCCACCCCATCTACCCCATCCACCCAT